GCCCGCGCTGTCCCCGTGCACCGGGGACCACCTCCCTTCTCCCCTGGTGCCCAGGGCCTCCTCTATAGCTTTGGACAGGGCGGTTCCCAGACCTCAGCGTGTGGGAGCCTGGCACTCCCTGCACCAATACACAAAACTGGGAACCCGCTGGGATCCCAGTATTGCCCAGTTGCCTGCAGCCTCCAGTGCTGGCTGTTCGGGATATCTCTTCTTCCATAGTGGGGCATGGGAGCCATGCATTATGGGTGTCCCACAGCTGCACCATGCTGTGCACCTGCCACTCCCCTGCACTGCTGGTGCAGCATCTGTGCACACCCATCCAATGCACCCTGGCTGGGTAACGTCTTCCCTTCATCCGCGGGACTGCACCCCCTTGTTTTGTGACCTTTTGTAGTGTTGTGCTTGCCCCCATGGGATAAAGTGTGTACCCCCTCTCCTCTTACACCAGTGCTGCCGTCCTGCTTCCACTCCCATCTTGCACACAGGTTTTCAGCATGGAGGAGGCATGTTGGTGTTTGCCTCCATCCCCGGCTGTGTCCCCCACTTTCTCTGAGCGGGGAACAAGCGCCAGATGGCTGTGGGAATGCAACTGCTGGAGCATGGCTCTGCAGCATATGGGTCCTAGGGCACCTCTTGGGCTTTGTGCCAGCAAACTAGGCATGGCTTTTCCCACCATGCTCCTGCTGCCAGTGACTGATGGGTGAAATAAAAAAAGTGGGATGAGGTGGGACTTTGGGCACAAAGATTCACTGTCTGTTCACTGCCCCTGCCTGTCTTGCCAAGGATGTTGGTATGGGGGAACCTTCCTCTCCACCGAGAAGGTGAGTGGGGACAGGGAGCTGGGCATGGCCCCATTTCAATGTGTGATTATCAGAACAGAGAAGGAGTTGAGGGGGTTGAACTCTAGCAGGTGTAGCAGTGATGGCTGCGAAATCACATAGTGTCTTTTGGTGCATTTGTCCCTCCACCTGCCCTGGGCAGTGCATCCCTGTCTTTCGCTTCATTTTTATGACTTTTGCTCTCACAAGTTAAATTGTCTCAAACCTGCCAGAATCGGATTGAAGCTGCTGTGATTTTTTTCCTGGTGTGTGACTGAGGTTTTTGGTGCACGCTGTACTGCTTTCTGCTGCAGAAGAGCTGGGACAATTTTTTGGAATAGATTAGCTGGACGAGGCTGCCACAGATGCTCCAAGAGCTGATCCAAGGGGACTGGCCAGTGTGACAAGTTCTGGAGTAGCAGCAGCTCTGAAAGTTACGGAAGGAAATGCCAGGGAGTTTCAGCTCTGTCTGGAAAGGCTAATGGACATCCTGCTGGGGAGCACTGATAACCTTGTCACCCACCTGCTCTTGCCTCAGCCTTCATTTTTACCTCATTAAAGGGGAAATGGGTTAGAGTTGTTCCCATGTTATGTCATTGCCAGGTTCTGCTTGGGTAGAAATGGTTACGAATGAATCAAACAGGGTTATTTTTCCCTTTAAATCCTGCTTTCTGGCCACTGCAGCTGTCTGTGCTTCCTCTGTTCTTGTAAAAACACCCACAGGTTTCTCTGGGAGTTTCTGTGTTCCTTTAGTAAGAGGGACAGATGGAGCAGAGAGATATGCCCTCTGTTGCCTTCAGAAACAGGTCAGATCAAATGGATATTGGGCATCATTTGCTTCCCCAAGCTTTGGGGCAACTTCGCTCTCTTTTTCCTCCTATTCCTTAGACATGGCTATGGTAGGACAGTCGAGCTGTATGCTGCAGGGAGGCAGGCTGGGCTCCTCTTCACTGCCACTCAGAAAGGTCCAACAAATTCAGTAAAAGTGCTTTCAGGTGTTAAACATTTTTGTGACAGTTCAGCCAATGCTCTTGCTTTAAGAGTTCTTCTGGTGATGATTCGCTGTGACTTTGACTGCTGTGCCTCCAGGGATCACAAGCCTCAGCTGTAGTCAGTGGCACCCCACAGCCACAGAAAATACCTTGCTGAGGCTGGATGTCTCGTTATTTCCAGCTGCACTCACAACCCATCCATTCTGCTGCTGCTGCTTAGATCAGAAATTCCACTTAGTGCTCTACAGCCCTAAATCCTGGCCACTGCTTGAAGCAGGAGCGTTGGCTCCTCAGCCAGCATGCGTTGGCAGGCTGCAGCCAGGTGACACCAATGCAATTTGCCACTGTTGGAGACCTCTTCCCACCTCTCTGGCATCTTTCTGTGCCAGAGGAAAGGGCAAGGTGCTGCATCTGCTGGTGCTGCAGAGGGAAGGTGTGGCCTGGGCCCAGCCTGTCCCTTTTGCTTATGGGAGTGGAGCCGCTGCAAGAGGGAGGATGTCCTTACAGGGGCCACAGAGCACCTGCTTGAGCCCAGTGGAATCAGACATGGAGGAGGCAAGTGTTTTCTGGCATGCTGAAGGCTGCTGTGGTCAGGGGAAAAGCTGTGGTTTGTGTCAATCCCAGGGCAGGTTGGTTGTGGTCCTAAGATGTGCCCCAAAGAAAGTGTATGAAGGAAAGTCTAAATTTAGAGGGCCTAGTTGGCTCCAGATGTAGGAGGCCTATGTACACAAGTCCCATACTGGTATACTCCTGTTGCAGTCACTCCTGATGTCCAGAGAGAAGAACTAAGGCTCACACTTTTAGGGATGACTCTAGGAGTGTAAAAAAGCAGCAGTGCAGCCTGGACATTTTTCCCCTCTCCTCAAGCATGAGGCTTTTACATTGTGCTTCACAGGGAAAAAAAAAAATCATGTTTCCAGCATGATGTCGACAGTCTGAAGACTTGGTTTCTTCCATGCTGTCTTCCTCTTTAATGCCTCCCCAGAGCAGCTCTCCATCCACCGTCTTCTCCTGACCACACCCAGCATCTCTTGGGTACCACTTCCTTGCAGCATCCCACGTCGACTCTCACCTGTTCTGGGATGCCTTTTGCTGGTTGCTCCCCATTCAGCTGAGCAAGCCCAGCACCACCCGCCAAAGCACCCTGGCTCAAGGAGGCAAATCCACACAGGACGAGACCCTTTGCACTGCGTGACTACTTTATCTGTAAGTGGCTGCATGGCCTGAGACTGCCTTTTAAAGCAGCCACCTCCATGATGTCACGCCGAGGAGCAAGGTGTCAGTGACAGCTCATGCTGGCATTTGTTCTGCGAAGAACGTGGAAGGCAAAAATGCCTTTTTCTAGGGAAATGGTGCCCCAGAGCAGCAATGGCTGCAGGGGCAAGGTAGGGCACATCTTCACGTTGTTTGCCAGACAGTGGCCCTTTGCGGATACTGATCAGTGGTGCAGCGTGTGGCAGCTGGAACCCAGCCAGTCCCATGCACTGCTTTTTCCTTTTTTTTTCCCCTCACCTCTTGCAAAAAATAAAGCCTGTGTGAGGTCCAGCCCATCTCCCCCCTCCTGCCGTCTCCCCTGCAAGTTCCGTGGCTCAGTCAGCACTGCCACTGGCCAGCACAGGCTACTTGGGAGAAGTTAGTGATAGCCAGTTCCCAGCAGGCTGGGTTCCTGCCCACGATTTTGCATTAGTCAGAGCATTGTTTCTCCTGTTGCAGCGCAGGCCTTTTCTGGGAAGGTTTTGTCTTTGCCAGGAGAGGCACAAGTATAGCGTGAGAGATAAAACACAGATTGCCTTTGCTTGGCAGCCTAGTAGTAAGCATTTCCCTGTGCTTCTACATCTCTGTGTGGAAATACTCTTCTGTGACTTTCAGAAAGAAGCAGTATCCTTTTGGAAGGGGAAAGGGGGAGGGAAGAAGTCAGGTTCCCGTGTAATAGATAATATTTTACAAGTGCTGCTAGCCATCAGTGGTCTCTGGAGGATCCAGGACACTTGTGCTGGTACTGGGAGACACTGGGCAGAGCTGATTGCTCAGAGGAGAAAGGGTGGGCAGGAGGAGAGCAGATGGTAAAAGGACGGGGGGGAGGAGGGCAGGTGACAAGGACTAGCTGCAGGCAAGGAGGGTAATTCCCAGCACTGGGAGGGGAGACTGGTGCTGGTTTTGATTACCTGGTGGTATGGGAACACCTTGTGTTCCTCTCTGGCAGGTATCGCTCAGAGATGCACTGCTATCAAGTACCACCTTTCACAGCTGGTACACAGGTGTGTATTTTCCATTCCCTCCAACCTGATGGAGATGATCCACCTGGATGAATGGCATCTGCTCTATAAGTGTTCGGTATGGCCCCCTCCTCCCTGGTGAGGCCTATGGCTTGTGCTCTCCCTTTCATGTGAAAAACACAGCAGCGAGATACTAGTTTGAGGAGGAGGGGGCTGAGGAGGCAGGATCCCACTGGGACCCAGCCATCAGCAATTTTCGTCCTCATTTTCACTTGCAGGCCATTACAGTTGGTCCAGGAAAGTGTGAACACCACATACAAGGGGTTTTAAGCTTGTTGAATGTAACCTGCTCTTAGTCACCTTTCACAGGAGGATCACCTGTCCTGTCACCTCTCCAGGTGTGTGCATAAAACCAGCATGAAAACCTGTGTTCTGCTGTCACTAGAAAAGGTCCAGCAGGAGACATGTCGGAAGCTAAGGACAGAAGCCATGTTCTAAACAATTATGGCAGAACCTGTCTGCATGGAAACTCCCCGGCATTTAGAAACTGGAGCATTTCTGTCCATCCAAGTTAGTTTAAAATTGAACTCGAGAAGGAAATAGAGAACAAAGAGTGTATCATGGTGTATCTGCATAAAACCATGCTTCACCCACATCCTGAAGGTCATATGGCTGAAGCTATATGATTATATGGTTCATAGGATAGTGGGAAGTTTATAGCAAAACTACAAAACCATGAGTTTGTAGCAGCCTTGCTACAGTACCACTTTCTACTTAAAGGTACTCCCTTGTAGGTCTGGGATTACTCCTACTGTGGGTCTGCCTTGTGCAGGTCAGCTGCACTTGTGGCTGTTTCTAGGTGTCTCTCCACTTCCTCCTGCAGTGGAAGGCTTGTCCGTGGTAACATCTACTCTGAATTTCTTGGGTTTGGTGGAAACAGAGTTGAGAAGGATCATGGCCAGATGCCTCCTGCCATTCTTCCCTGTGGGTGCATCATGGCAGCTGCCAGCTTCTTTTGGGAAGAAAGCCTCACCCAGTACATTACAGGTCTGTTGTTCCTGGCAAGTAGTGCATCGTTCTAGCATGCTAATGGCGGATGAAGGTTTCACCAGGTTTCCCTTGGGTAGGCAGCGTATGCTCCAGTAACTGGAGCACGCCTTTCCTCCTGATCACCAGTTACTGTACCTTGCATGAAGCGAGTCGCTTACTCATACAAGTGGAATAACCAATAACTAGAAACAAAAAAACTGTGAAAAATGCTCTAGGCCTCATGCAGCAGCAGGAAAGGACCACAGGTCTAAAACAACTGCTCTCTCCTCTTTACATACAAAGGAATCTCTCTCTTCTCCAAAACAGTCCCTTGCTGCAGTTTGCAGTCCTTGATGATGGACTAAATATTTCTTTTAACACTGAAGTAGGAAAGGGGAATACTTAAAAAAAAAAAAAAAAAAAAGTAAAATTAGAGGTTGTTTAGAGGGAGAGGAAAGGTAAAATCTGTGAACACGAAGCCAGCATGAGTTTGAACCACCCAAACTCACAAGGCTAAGCACACCTTCTCTTGTGCCAGAAGAAATATTTTGATTTCAGCAGCTGTAACACACAGCACAGCTATATTTTTTTAATACATATGGAAAGCACAAGCCTGAGGGAAGGCTCATTGTGTGTGGCTAATTTAGCAGCTTAATGAAAAAAACAGCCTAACAAAAAACGCTTAAGGAAAAGTGACCCAACAGAAAACCTAGGCTGGGAAAAGGGTGTCGGCCGAGAGATGGGGAGTGATTTAGCATGAATGGTTTCTCTGCAGAGATACGTGGAGGGCCACCTGTGGAGGTAGGTTACCTGCTCAGTAACCTCCAGATGAGATTACAGGCAGCACATGCAAGACAATTTCCCCTGACCGCTCTGAGGCATGCAGCAGGCTCTGCTTCTGCAGAGGGGATTCAGCACACAGCACCAGCTTGGGCGATGTAATTGTGTCCCGTGGGTCAGATCTGATCATGGATGGGGGCTTTGGCTACCTTGCTCTTTTTGAACAGCAGGCTTGACTGAAGTCACAGAGGGAGTCTTATTCTTAAAAGCAGCGATCAAGAAGTTTGCTGGATGCAATTCACAACCGCAGAGCTAGGGCTTAGCCTTGCATAACTGGGTAATGCATGAAAACTTTATGAATGCCAGTAATTATCACCTGTGTGATACCCAGGATAACTTACACCAATAAAGCTGGATGCAGGTTATTTGATGAGTAAGGCCTAACATTTATTTTGTTATTCATGCTATGCTACATCTCAAAGTAACAATGCAATTATTTCATTTACAGGAATATTTTGCACTATATCTCCGTGCACTTACATCGCCAGCATATCATATGACCTAAAACACCTCCCTACAGTTGTCTATAATCTTCCTGATGATGTAGAAAGTGAATACAGCTGGTCTGTATTTTGTGCTTGGTGCAGTCTGGGATTTACAGGAGCAGCCAGATGTCTTTGCACAGCTTACCTGTTTGTTAGCAGGGGCAACGTTATGCAGGTGAAGTCCACCAGAGATTCCTCCATCTGACTGCCCACCTGCCACCAACAGCCTTCAGTGATGGCTGAACAGTATTTCTCAGGACTTACTTGAAGAAGCAGAAGTGAAGGGAAAACTAAACTCAGGATTCCAAGCACAAAAGTCTGATTCTTCAAAATCTGACTGTCGCATTTTACCAGTTCAGCAAGTTTTTCTCCTACGATGCCCAGCAGAGAGATTTGAAAAGGAGACAGCTCTCAGAGGACAGAGGTGGTTCAGGATCAGATGCTTCAGTTCAGCATGCCAAGTTCATACCAAGGAAGGTATTTGCACTGGAAGGTAAAAGGGGGAGGAAAGTTTCTGTAAGAATTTAGGACTATTTTTATTTTTCAAGGACCTGTACATAAAGGAAAAGTCACTGTTGCCAAATGAATCCTAGTCAGAACTATACCCCCTTCCTCAGGGCATCATCTGTAGTGTTTTAATTCAGCACCTTCTGCACTTGACCCTAAAGGAAGGCTTTTGTGCCCCTCTCTTCCCAAAATGCCCAAACAGGACTTTTTCTTTTAAATCAGTGTGTATCTGTGTCTCTTTGTGTATCCTTTGTATATGAAGTTCCTGTGTAATTTGTAAATAACCAAGATTTCCATTCTCAGCACCCAAGCTGCACTATGAGAAGGATTAAATTACTCCTGTCCATTCCTGGATGGTCTTTTGGTTATGCAGCATTTGTCAAGCTACAGTATCTGTAGTAAAATACCTGCCTCTGTCAAAAGCATTTGTGTCAACTGCAATTTCATGGCTTGGAAATGGTGTCTCCTGAAAGGCAGAGAAATTTCATAAACCAGGAGGATTGTAGCCTGGACAGTGCTTGCACCAAGCATCCCTATGGAGCAGTGCAGCATGCTGGAGTTAGAGCCCCAGAGAACCTCTCCTACTTGGGCCAAGAAGCCACCCATGGCAAGACAGGGATGGGGAAATGCTAGAATGGAAGCAGCTTTGCATTTTCCAGTGCTTAATGGCAGAGACATGCAAGTTAACAGATGAGAGTGCTATGCTGATCTGTCAGACAGCACTCAAACTGACAGATCCAGTCTCCACAATTAAGAGACTTCAGTGCTATGTTGATGCATCTGTCACAACTCAACCAAAACTACAATCCTTTGCCATCACCTAAAAGCCAGTGTTGCCCTTGATGCATGGCATCCATACATCCATTGCCAGAGCAGTGTTTCACACCTGCTGGGCACAAGGAAAGAGTTGGCCAGGCCCCTGGAAGGTCCCCGATGCTGCCCTGCAGAAGGCACAGGCTCTGTCAGGAACAGAGCAGATACTGCTGATGGAGCAGAGTGATCAGAGAAGCCAATTCTGCAGTAAGGGTGGATGGTACAAGATCAACACAAAAGGGAATAGTGGGGGGAAAGGGACAGATACAGATTATTGTAAGCATAGGGCTGGGAAGAGAAGAGGGGAGATGTGAGAGGAAGGTTGGTTGAAGGGCAAAGGAGTGGGAGAGGAAGGAAGGGGAGGTGAGAGGCAAGGGTGGTGGAACAGAGAAGTATTGCCTTAATGCAATAACCTTCAATTAAATGACAGCAGAAAAAGTCAGTGCCAAATTAGGGTTAGGAACACAATCATACAAAGTAGACTAAAACCCAACAGATCAGTTGATTGATCTGTGAGCAATCAATATGCCAGGACACAATGGCAGGAGAAACCAGCATCAGCACTAAGCACAGCTTTGGGGCCAGCCTTCACCGTATTTCTGTGCTTGGCTTCACCCCTGAGCGCAGAGCAGTGTTTCTCAGCAGTTAGGTCCTGCTGGAGTCAGCTCATACCTGTTTACATGATTGTCTTGTCATACACAGATCAAGGCAGAAATACTCCCTCCAGATGGCTTATACATCTAGTATAACACCAAGAAGGTTTAATTTGGTTCCACCTCAGGTGAAGTGCACAAATAGCCATGGGTGACACTAAACTACTGGAGTGGCTACCATAATGAACGGCAGAACATCTGCCCAGAGGGGTCTCAGTCAACTTGAGAAGTAGCACCTTGCAGTGTTCAAGGAGATGAGCAGAGCTCTGCATGTGGGGTGACACAGCCCTGTGCATTCAGCCAGGCTGGGAAATTAAAGCTGGGTCGCAGCCCTGCTGAGAAGGTCTCGGGGTTACAGCAGACAACGTGCTGATCATTAGCCAGAAGCATGTTCCCATCACAGATCAAACAGGCTGGCTAGCAGAGCCAGAAGAGCGATTTTTACCCCCTCTGTTCAGGGCTGGTGAGGCCTCACCAGGATTCGTGTCCAGTGTTGGGTCCTCCAGTTCAGGATGGATGTGGGGAAAGAGGAGAGGGGCCAGCAGAGGCTACAAAAATGGTTAGGGCCCTGGAGCACAGTGCCTCTGAGGGGAAGGAGCTGGGCTTGGGTAGTCTGGTGAAAAGTAGGCAGAGGGGCCACCTACCAGGAGCCTGTGACTGCTAGAAAGACATGAGCGCCAAACTTCTGCAGCATCAGACAATGCAGCGAGGGACAACAGCCACAGATTGCAGCTTGGGAGGCTCACACATAAGGAAAGCTTCTCCCCCAGGAGGGTGGTGTCCCCTGGGAGATGTACCCAGAGAGGCAGGGATCTCCATCCTTGGAGGTTTCTTGCACAGTGCAGGAAACCTACCAATTCCCAGCAGTAGAGGTCTTCCTGTATTTATATATGAAAGCCCCAGCTGACGTGATCTAGTGCTGGCAGTAGGCCTGCTCCAACGGGGAGGCTGGAGACCACCAGAGCTCCTTCCCACAGACATGACCACTGTATCGAAAAGACGCCTCAGCATTCTATAAAGTTGGGGGGGGGCTCCACAAGCAGTTCTCAACAACAGTAAATTTTAGTCTCTTGAAATAAAATTAGCCTGAAGATTAAAGTCTCTTCCCTTACTCAGCCAAAGCACCTTGTCAGAATCAGGAAAAATACAGAAAAGAAAGAAAAAAAAAAAAAAAAAATCCCAACCCAAAGCCCAAACACACTACTAGTTGTATCTCCGTACTAATCACAGCAGAGGAACACAATGCATGATTCCATGCCAGTTTGCCAAGTTGCAAATGCTTGTCCAAAATAGCATCTGAAAGCAATCTGCATTAATTATCTATAAAAATACTTCACTGTCAGCTCAGCGGCCATGGGAAAGCCTTGAATTAGACTATCCTCCTCCACAAATACCTTTTGCATAGACTAAAAGAACTGCTGAGACCTCTTTCGTTTCAGGAGAATTTTTCCATGTGCTTCTTTGCAGGCAGAAGTCACTTCTAATTGTTAATCCACTTGGCAAGTTTTTCCATCTTTCACACTGTGCCCTTGGAGTAACATTACCAAGTGAGGTAAAGCATTATTTTTGATAGAAAGAAGTCTTTTCACTCTAAAAAGCTGAAGCATACCCATTAGACACAAGAAAATGCTGCAAAGATTTAATACAGAAAATAGTTTCTTTTCCACTCCGGGAGATGTGAATACTGACATTTCAAACTAACTTTCAAGTAACACTGCAAGGCACATGGTAAAGCACACATCCATCCCTCAAAAAAAGCTGGACATTTCTTCAGGAAAGATGTGCTTCCTAAAATACTGCTGAAGGTGAAAATCCATTTACATTTAATATTACCACACTTGCTTTTGCTGTTCTGCAAATGAAGTCTTTCTCTCCCAGAGAAACTCCTCCTGATACTGAGAGGCTTTCCCTAAACAAGGATTTGAGGAGTCTTCTCTCATTACAGTGTTTCACAGTAAAAACATCTGAAACACTAGTAGGCATCTTCCATCTCTCCTAAAAACCAAAGAGACGAAAGCAGTGCCTTAGGAAATCCAAAGAAAGTGAGGTGAGCTAACAAATGGCACAGGGTTCATTCGGATCAGCAGAGTTCCACTGGATCACTGCCATGCTGCTTTTGTCTGGGACAGAGTTAATTTTCTTCCTACTAGCTGGTACAGTGCTGTGGTTTTGGATTTCGTAGGAGAATAATGTTGATAACACACTGATGTTTCAGTTGTTGTGAATTAGCGTTTACTCTAAGTCAAGGACTTTCCAGTTTC